CACAATAACAAATTGCTATTAAAAAAAAAATGGGGGGCACAGCCAAGATGGCAGAGTAAAAGCAGTGACTTGCTTGAGCTCTCCCCCAAACCCCTCCAAATACCTATAAAAACTAGCTCTAAACAAATTCTAAAGCAACAGAATCCACAAAAAGACAGAGTGAAACAAATTTCCAGCCAAACACAGCCTGGATGGTTGATCAGAAAGGTATATCGTGCTGGGCAGGAGAGGAGCACAGTTCGGGTGTGGGCCCACAGGCCGCAGCGACCCTGGAGCGAGCCTCAGAGGACTGAATCATGGGCATCGGTGGCGGTTTCCAGACTTCTCAACCCACAAATGCCAAAGACAACTTAGAAGGTCAGTGGGAAAAGTCTGTGCCTGAGGAGGGAGAGAGAGAGACAGTGGGATTCCAGCCCCATTCTTGAGTGCCACCCTGGGCAGTGGCTGCTTCCTGAGCTTCTGGCCCACAGACTGAGGGGGAATCAAGTGGCTGATCAGAGTGGGATTACAGGGCTCTCTATGCTGGTGCAGGATTCTCTTGCTTTGCTCATGCTTGGATCTGGGTCACAAGTTCTGGGTGGTGGTCCTGGGGCGAGGAGGAGGGCTGGCGTGGTGGAGCTTGTAGTGGCTGTGTAGAGGAAACCCTCCTCATAGTTCCTAGACAGAAAAGAGCACTTACAGACCAGAGCACAGGCCAGGAAAGGAATAAACACCTTGCCCTTGATCATAGCACCTTGGAAGAACTGAAAATTTACAGGACCCTAGAAGTATCTCTGAAAACAGCTGCACAAAACCCCCGAAGCTTGGGACAGTACATTCTCCACTCTGGAAACAGACCCCTACCTTAACAAAGAGTTTATAACTCAAGTAATTGGCTGAGATCATGAGCAAGCAGCACAAAAAGAGTCAGATTATATTATCTTACTTTGATGACAAAGAAGATCAAAACATACAACCAGAAGAAGACAACGAAATCAAAGCTCCTACATCCAAAGCCTCCAAGAAAAATATGAATTGGTCCCAGGCCATGGAAGAGCTCAAAAAGGATCTTGAGAAGTGAGTAAGAGAAGTAAAGGAAAAACTGAGAGTGATGCTAAAGGAGATCCAAAAAAATACTGAAGAAAATAATACCTTAAAAAATAGCCTAACCCAAATGGCAAAAGAGGTCCAAAAAGCCAATGAGAAGAATGCCCTAAAAAGCAAAATTGTCCAGATGAAAAAGGAAGTCCAAAAGCTTACTGAAGAAAATACTTCCTTAAAAATTAGAATGGAGAAATTGGAAGCTAGGGACAATTTGAGAAATCAAGGCACTGTAACACTAATCAAAAAGAATGAAAAAATAGAAGAGAATGTGACATATCTCATTGGAAAAACACCTGACCTGGAAAATAGATCCAGGAGAGAGAACTTAAAAATTACTGGACTATCTGAAAGCCATGATCAAAAAAAAAAAAAAGAGCCTAGACATCATCTTTCAGGAAATTATCAAGGAAAACTACCCTGATATTTTAGAACCAGAGGGCAAAATAGAAATTGAAAGAATCCACTGATCACCTCCTGAAAGAGATCCCCAAAGGAAAACTCCTAGGAATGTTGTAGCCAAATTCCAGAATTCCCAGGTTAAGGAGGAGATATTGCAAGCAGCCAGAAGGAAACAATTCAAGTATTGTGGAAACACAATCTCGATAACACAAGATTTAGCAGCTTCTACATTAAGGGTCTGGAGGGCTTGGAGTATGATATTCAGGAGGGCAAAGGAGTTAGGACTACAACCTAGAATCACCTACCCAGCAAAACTGAGTATAATCCTTCAGGGTAAAAAATGATCATTCAATGAAATAGAGGACTTTCAGGCATTCCTGTGGAAAAGACCAGAGCTGAATAGAAAATCTGACCTTCAAATACAAGACTCAAGTGAAACATGGAAGAGGTAAACAGGAAAGAGAAATCATAAGAGATTTATTAAGGTTGAACTGTTTACACTCCTGCAGGGAAAGATGATATTTGTAAACTCATGAGTCCTTTGCCAGTATTAGGGTAGTGGGAGGGAAAAAAATTATATGTATGTATAGATAGATAGAGGGCACAGGGTCAGTTGAAGATGAAGGGAGCTGATATCTGGAAAATAAAATTAAGGGGTGAGAAAGAATTATACTGGGAGAAGGAGAAAGGGAGAAGTAGAATAAGGTAAAATATCTCACATGAAACAGACAAGAAAAGGCTTTTACAGTGGAGGGGAAATGCAGGAAGGTGAGAGGGAATGAGTGAATCTTATTCTCATAGGATTTGACTTAAGGAGGGAATAACATACACAATGGGGTATGGAAATCTATCTTACCCTACAGGAAAATAAGGGGGGAAGGGAACAAGAGAGCAGGGGGTTGATAGAGGGGAGGGCAAATTGGGGGAGGGGATAATCAAAAGCAAACACTTCTGAGGAGGGACAGGGTCAAAAAAGAGAATAGAATAAATGGGGGGTAGGATAGGATGAAGAGAAATATACTTAGTTTTTCACAACAGGACTACTGTGGAAGTGTCTTGCATGACTACACATCTATAACCTGTACCAAGATGCTTGCCTTTTCAATGAAGGTGGGTGGGGAGGGAGGAAGGGAGAAAATTTGTAACCCAAAGTTTTAAAAACACATGTTAAAAATAAAAAAATTTAAAATGAGCAGGCAAAGGAGAAAGAACCCAACCATAGGAAGTTACTATGGGAATAGAAAAGACCAGGGTTCATCTTCAGAGGATACTGAAGCAAAAAAAAAAAAAGCCTCTCCTACCCCAAAGAATAATGTCAAATGGTCACCTGCCCAAAAAGAATTCGTAGAAGAACTTTAAAGAGACTTTCAAAATAAAATGAGAGAGATTAAGGAAAAAGTTTTTAAAAAATAAGAACAATGCAAAAAAACAAGATTATGAAAAGAAAGTCATCCAGATCCAGAATCTTAAAGAAGAAAACAACTCCTTGAAAATTAGAATTGGGCAAGTGGATGTCAGTGAAGTTATGAGGCCAACAAATAACAAAACAAAATAAAAAGAATGAAAAAATAGAAGAGAAAGTGAAACATCTCATAAAAAAAACTGATCTGAAGAACAGATCAAAAAGAGAAAAATAAGAAATATATGGACTACCTGAAAGCTATGATCAAAAAAAGAATCTTGATATAATACAAGAAATAATTAAAGAAAACTGTCCTGAAGTGTTCCAACAGTAGAGGAAAGTAGAAATACAAAAAAATCCAGCCTTCACTACCTGAAAGAGAAACTACGAGGAAAACCCACAGGAAGGTCATAGCTAGATTCTGAAACCCCCAGCTCAGGGAGAAAATATTATGAGCAACAAGAAAAAACAATTCAAATATGGAGGGGCCATAATTAGAATTATACAAGACCAACCTAACAGCGGCTACTTAAAGACCACAGGTCTTGGAACACTACATATCATACCCTGCAAAGTTAAGCATATTCCTGAATGGAAAAAAAATGGATAATATTCAATGAATTGCCAGACTTATAGGATTTTGTTACAAAAAGACCTGAAATCAATAGAAAATTTGACATATAAGATCCAAGAGAAACACAAGCTAAACATCAAAGACCATTACAATTACAAGACTGTTTACTTTTTAAATGAGGAAATATAAACTGTATGTCTAAGACTGTTATTAGTAATTGGGCAGTTCAAAAGAAAGATTAGGGTAGAGTTGAATATGATGCTATCTATACTAAAAAGCAAACCACTTAGGAAAAGGTAAAAAGAGTAATTATCTCACACAAATGAGGTGAAGGAGGAAGAACTGGCACCGAGGAACTAGATGAGGGAGGAGGCTGGTAGTTCTGGAACCCTACTCTCATCGGGAATGAGTTAAAGAGGGAACTAGACATATATATCTCGAAGGGCATAAAAGTCTTCTAAATTCAGAAAGAAATAAAAGGCTAAGGGGATAAAGGGGGGGAGGGGATAAGGGAAAGACTTCAGGATGGGCGGGAGAGGATAAGGGAGGGATCTCTGGTGGGGAGGGTAGGTTAAGTAATAGGAGGGCAAGGTAGAGGGTAAAAATAAAGTAGAAGAGGCAGGAGGGATAGGAAATAAGAGATATACACAAACATAAAATAAAGATTAGGAGTAGAATTTATTAGGATAAAATAGCAGGGGTAGTAATCATGATTTCAGAAAAAGTTAAAGATAAAATAGATTTAATTAAAAGAGAAAAATATGGAAGCTACACTATATATCAGCCATATTAATCGATATTGTTTTAGACTAAAATAACTAGACAATATGAGGTTGGAATATTGTTGTGATATTGGAAACAATGAACTGGTGCACTTAGAAAAATATGAAAAGACTTGAACCTATGAAGGAAGATATTATTCACCTGCAGAGAAAGAAGACAAACAAGTATAGCATGGTCTTACATAGAGGCATACGCATAGTCTATATATGACTATGATTACAAATATCTAAGTATATGTATGAATATGTAAGTATGTATATATGTATGGATATGTGCTTGTATATGTGTGCATACAAATTGTATATGCGTATAGATGTATGTGTTTATATATGCATGTATGTATATGTACATACATACATTCAAGCTTGTGTGTATGAACACACACACACACACACACACAAATATATCCTCCCTTAACTTAATTGTAGCCTTCCTGGGGGAGGCAGAAGAAGGGGGGAAAAAAGAACAAAGTAAAAAGTGCGCAGCAAAGAACAAAGGAAAATTAACAAGGAAGCAAAAAAAAGATGGACAGCTCCGAACACAATGTGTATGTAGTATTTATTATATAGGCTTTCTTGAAATGGATATCCATTGCTGTATATTTTGAATCCCCTCTTATGTTCTGCTGTGCACATGGCAATGCTTTTTTTCCCCTTGTCTTATTTTTTATTTAAGTCTTAGTATTTAAGTTTAAAATAAATTAATTTAAAAATATAACTTCGAGAAAAAGAATAGATTAGAGATTTTTTTAAAAATTACCTTAGAAAACAACTCCAAAATCATCTTTTGTAAAGCTTTCTCATACGGATCTTCTGGAAACAGCCTCCTTTCTGGATAAACTTCATCCAGGTATTCACAAGTGATGGAAGATTCATGTATCAACTGACCCTTACTGGTCTCCAGAACTGGTACTAGACCAAGGGGGTGTTTCTTAAAGAACCATTCAGGCTTGTTTTTCAAGTTAATATTGATGACCTCATGCCTTGAAAGATATAAGGAAAAAAACTTATGTCAAGAGTTACCATTTTGAATATTGATAATCACTAGTCTCATATTACCAACTACCTACAGGTGTATGTCCAAGTGGATGTCCTGTGGGCATCTCAAACTCAACATGTCCAAAACAGAATTATCTTCTCCTTCAAACCCTCCCTTTTTTTTTTTTTTAATTTGGCTAGGCAATGGGGTTAAGTGACTTGCCCAGGGCCACACAGGTAATTAAGCGTTATGTGTCTGAGGCCGGATTTGAACTCAGGTACTCCTAAATCCAGGGCCGGTGCTCTATCCACCGCGCCACCTAGATGCCCCTCCTCCCTTCTTTCTGATTTCTCTTTTTAAGGAACCACCATCCTTCCTGCCCTGTCTCCTAGATTTACAACCTCAGTTATCTTTTATTGCTCTTCTCTTTTCTAAGTTTTGTCAATTCTACCTCTATATTTAATATATTTCCAATCTTTTCTCCACTCCCACAACTACCATCCTAGTTCAAGAAGGTCCTCATTACCTCTAACCTAAACTACTGCAATAGTCCCTTAATGTTTCCTTGCATTTGGTCTTTCTCCTTTCCAATCCATCCTCCACAAAAGTGCCAAATTGATACCCCTAAATTATAGGTCTCGTGTCACTCCTTTGTATCCTTAAGTAATTAACACAGTAACTGGCACATAATATGGGCTTAATAAACGTCTGTTGAATGAATAAATTATTTAAGTGAAGATTTAATCCCTTAGGTATAAAGAAAAAAAAACAATTAAATAATTGTCAAATGACTTAATAGTTTGTTGTGAAAATATTTTCCAAAGAAAAAAATTGGGTGTGTAGTACATGAAACTGATTAAAGCATGGATCGAATGCAAAGCATTAGGGACCAAGCAAAGTGAGATATAAGGATAAATAATAAGATTTAGGTTCGGCCTTCGAGGCGTTTGTAACGTAGAAAGGAGAAATAAGAAGCGTACATGGGTAAGTGGAATACAAATCACAATTCATAAAATTAAAAGATTGTCTGTTGATTGCCTTGCAAACTGCTTCAAGAAATAGCACCAGTGTTTCTTTTATTTCAAGAACGCCCTCTGGCCAAAAAGAGGCACAGAATCTGCAATTAACTAAGGGTTCAGAAAGCCGGCTCCGGGACCCCGGCCGGCTCCCAGCCCCCGCCCCGAGCTTGCTCACTTGATTCCTTTGGCCTTCAGGATGAGCCGGGTCCTCTCCGCGAAGGGGCAGAATCTCATGCTGTACACCCGTATGACTCCCAGCGGCACTGGGCCGGGCTGAGCGCTGCCTGCAAAAAGCCCCAGCATTCGGTGAGCGCCCTAGGCGACTTGCCTCCCGCGGCCCAGAAAAGCTATCCGAGAGCGGCAGGACGGCTTCTAGCCTCCGCTCGCAAGGGAAGGGGCAGCGGCCAAGCCCACCCGGGATAACGCCACAGGAGCCCCGTCGATGGAGGCCCAAACGGAGCTGCGGCTCCTCTGGCCCAGCCCGCGGCCCCCGAGCAGCCCCCCGCGACTCACCTTTTCCCAGGCTGCGGACGGACTCGCCGGACATTGCGTCTCCCGGTGCTTGCAGCAGCTTCTCAGGCCTGCTACCGCTGCACGGACGGAATGGGGCTTCACCAGGGGTTGGCCCCTCCCTTCTCCAGAATCTCCGGAGTTGCCTCGGGGTGATCTGGGGCTGGAGGCGGGGCTGGTAGAGAACCGGATACCGGGGGCTCGAGGGAGCCTGCTCCTTGCTCCGGACCGCGGGTGAAGAGGAACTCCTCGCTTCCCCCTCGCTTCGCCCTCCCCCGTTAAGCCAGCAAAGCCCAGACTAAGGTTTGGCTAAAGCAGGGTGTGCGTCACCTGCAGGTTACCGAAAAAGATCCAATACGTAGGCGTTTTCCGTACGATCCTGCAGCCACAGATTACCTGGTTTGGGTCGTCCTTTTCTAGTCTTATTTATAGGACTCATAGAATAAAATCTTAAAATAACAAGGCAATTGTTTTTTCTTTAGTTCTCGGGAAAATCGTTTCTCACTGAGAGTAACATTTGTACAGCACTTTAGAGCTTATCGTGATCAATTATAAACACATTGGGTGGTGTCCACATTATCTTCTTGTATCACATTAAGGCGGGAAGATAGTCTATCTTCAAGCTAGAAATGGCTTGAATCTTAGAATGTTAAACAAAATTCTGTCTGGCAAACGAGCCTGAACTCGTTATTTTGTAAGTTCCTTGAGGACAGGGGCTGGCTTTTACCTTTATATCCCCAGTGCTTTGTACTGTGCGTGGCACATAGTAGGAGTTTAATAAATGCCTAAATTGACCTAGGGAGTTTATTCTTACAAACTGGGCCTTCTGGCATAAATTTCACGTAGTGTAGTTGGTTAACTTCGAAACAAACATACTGCCAACCCCCATGCAAGACTCCTGGGCTTTTCTACTGCCTTTTCTACTTTTACATTTATTGAGATTTGCAAATGTTATTCCTCAACAAGCTGGTAAACTTCTTCAATCAATGAATGACCAACTTGATGGGTAATTTTTGTACATGTACTGTCTCAAAGGGAATATTTAATAGTACTTTTTTTATCCTGTACTGAAATAGCAGGACGGGATTGTTACCTGTGGATTTGTTTCCTGGGGTTTCTTCAAACACTAGTTTCCCATTCAGGAGTTACTTGACAACAGCTTTACCATTTATCTTGCTAAACAAGTTGCCCTTTTACACTTAATTTATTTAGACTAATGACCTGTCCTAGAGAAATTTGCTAAGTCATTGTTGTGTATTGTGGTTAACTAATTCTTACTGTCTTACAAAGGTTATCTATAATTTTCTGCAATTATCTGTCATATTATAGCCAGCTCCACAGTTATTAGAGAAGTCTCCTCCTTCCCCCAATGGCTAAGCAAACATTTACTAGGGAAAAAAGGCACACACTTCATGAAAATCATGTGAGGAAAGAAAGCACTGTGTAAGTTATAAAGGATCACATAAATGTGAAGTATAATGTCTATATAGTTTATGGTTGGAGAAAAAAGGGGGATAAGGGTTGGGGAATCCTGAAAAGAAAAGCCAGGACAGTTTCCTTCAGAGTCTCTTTGCCAGGCCTGACCAGATGCATCATGTTGGAAATTCAGTAGAGCCACAATTCAATGCAGGCAAAGCGGGCAGACACTTGGTTGGAAATCAGAGGACTCGTATTTTATTTTTGGCTCTGTTTGCTTAATGGTTATATTATCTGAGACAAGTCACTTAGCTTTTTTGGGCTGCAGTTTTCTAATCTATAAAATGAGGGGGTTGGGACAAGATGATTTCTAATGTTTTTTCCACATTTCTGTCCTATAATCATATCTCTCCAGGCTGCACTGCAGACTCTATGGATTTTCTCTAGAATGGAAAGGGTGAATTAGTTAGCTACACCTTTTGTTCTACCTGAACCTTTTTGGCTCCTTTCAGGTATCGTCTTCCTCCATTAGCGTATAAGCCCCTTAGAGCAAAGACTTTCTGCTAAGTACCTATTTCCTCTGCACGTCTGGCCCTTAGAAAGTATTTAAATGCTTATTGACTTGACTGTAATCCTATTGTTTATTGGTCCATATTTCCTCAACTTCTATTTTCTACTAAAAACGTGCCAACCAGATGAGACAATGGAAGGGCTCCGACCTAATCTAAATTTTTGAATGTAGTTCTTGGGACACAGGATCAGATGGAAAGCCTGATCTAATTAGAAAGAGAAAGAGAGCCACTTAAGCCATTATTTCTCTACCAAATAAATGCATTTGTACAATGCCAATTCTGCCTCTACAGTATTTTTGCATCCGATTCTCACTTCTCGCTCAGCCAAAGCTTCAGTTCAAAGCCCTCATCACCCCTCCCCAGACGGGAGAAGCAAACTACAGCCTGCCCCATAAATCTGTCCAGCTGCCCGATGGCCACAGACGAGACCTAAAGGATGGAGTTGCTCAACCCCAGCCCTAGACGACTGCTGTGTTCTACTAATTGGTATTTCTTTCAGTCTTTCTCCACTCCGATACATTCTTTGCAGCCAAAGTGAATTTCTTAAGCACAAGTCTGACTATGTCACGACTCTTCTTAACAAATTCCAGTTGCTCCCAATTGCCTCTATAATCAGATATGTAAATTCCGGTTTGGCTTTTAAAGCCCTTCACAACCTAGTCCCAATCTACGTTATGCATTATTACTCCCCCCTCCCAAAACTGTTTCCTCACCTGTAAAATGGTGTAAAACCCTTCCAGATTACCCCAAAGGCTCGGAAATAACATATAAAACATAAGTAAATAAATATAAATGCTTAATAAATAATAATAAAATATAAATGCTTTAGAGCTATTTGTAAATATATATTATTAGCTCTATTATTAGAATCAGCACTAACCTCTTCTCTAATATTTTGTTCAGAACACAGAAAAATATTGCCTTCTAATAATGTGTTTATTATTACCATTCTGCCAATCCTCCTTAAAACTCCTGGGAAGTACCTTTGAAGTAAGAAATACTTTCCTTCTGCTACTGTTGTTATTGCTTAATTCCCTAATGCACCCATGCTGTAATAAGTAGATCATAAAAGAATTGCAATGAGCAAATATCAATTAGGCCTCAAATCAGTTTTGTTACATAAAACCTAACCAAGATATATTTGGAAATCACTTTGCCCAACTGAAAGCATTTGCTTTCTAAGACATGGAAGACATATTCCATTTTTTTAGCCAGGACTTTGGTTATGAGAGGGGCAAGGATTGAAGGGAACCTGGGGCATGGAACTTTTTAAACCCTTCTTTAAAGTATTACTCCCAAGGGGGGAAGGGGGAAGGTGAGAGGGAATGAGTGAATGTTATTTTCATTGGATTTAGCTTAAGGAGGGAATAACATACACACTCAATTTGGTAAGGAAATCTATCTTACCCTACAGGAAAATAGAGGGGAAGGGGATAAGAAAGGGGGGATGATAGAGGGGAGAGCAAATTGGGGGAGGGGGTAATCAGAAGCAAACATTTCTGAGGAGGGACAGGGTCAAAAGAGAATAGAAGAGGGGGGAAGGGGGCAGGATAAGATGAAGAGAAATATAGTTTTTCACAACATGACTGCTATGGAAGTGTTTTGCATGACTACACATGTATAACCTGTATCCAGTTGCTTGCCTTCTCAATGAGGTGGGTGGGGAGGGAAGCAGGGAGAAAATTTGGAACCCAAAGTTTTAAAAACGAATGTTAAAAATTGTTTTCACATGCAACTGGGAAATAAGATATACAGGAAAAGGGGTATAGAAATCTGACCTGCCCTACAGGAAAATAGAAGGGGAAGGGGCTAAGAGAAGGGTGGGCAGAGATAGGCAGATCAGGGGAAGGGGTATTCAGAATGCATGCCTCTTGGGGTGTGGGGAAGGACTAGATGAGGAGAAAATTTGGAACTTAAAATCTTGTGAAAGTGAATGTTGAAAACTAAAAATAAATAAATTAATAAAGTATTACTCCCAGATTGTAGCAGAAATGAAAGCATTAATTTTTAACATTTCTACAAGTCTCAGAGTCAGGTAAATTAGTGTTTGGGGTCCTTGAGTGTCTAGAGATATCCAGGAACCAGGAATGGTGGGATAGAGGGAAGAACAAAGCTCTCATTGAATTCCAGATTCAGGACTTATTGGTTGTTTTCAAGAGTGAGAGTTCCTGAAAAGAACCAGAAAATTCTCTCCTTGTTCTGAAATGTGGTCCATTGAACAACAACAACAAAAAAGTTCTTTAGCTGAGGAGAAGAAATCAAGTTCAAACAATTTAAGAAAGCAGAGTTCCTGGGTTTTTGTTTTTGTTTTCAGTCAAGATGTGGTCTTCCCCATTCCCTTTGTCAAGCAGAACATACACTTCATTTATTTATCACAACTTTGGAGACCTGTGTCATCAACAAAGAAAAAAATTAATCTTTGAGATGCCACGAAATTTGAATATTACACAGGATTCAGGAATTACCCCCAAACAAGCACATACACGCCACAGGACTTTGGGGGGGAGGAGTCGGCAAAGGAGTGGAGGAAACTGTAAAAGTCGACTAGATGCTTTGTAAGGTCCCTTTCAGATAATGAATCCTATGCTGTTTAAGAGCAGGTATCATTTTTTGGGCTTTTTTTTGTAATCCCCAAGGCTCTGCACAGTCCCTGGTATGTAGTAGTGGACACTTGGTAAATGCTTGTTGACTAGGACATCTGCCTGGAAGCTCTCCCTCTAAATTACCTTTGGCCAGGTAAAGGCCTGCGGCCAAAGCATGGGAAAGTTAGTCTTCCTCGACAAGATCGGCGGCTGAAGGTCAAGGCCCGGAGAAGTAGCGGCTGCGGAAGGGCAAAACCGGCAGCCAACCTAGGTCCCGAGGATTTCGCCTCTATTCCTGGGCTTCACTTCCCGCTGCATTCCCAGCTGGAGGCCTCGGTGCCCTTCCAAGTGTGTACCCGCAGCCTTGAGGGGCAACGTGCCCCGGGAGAAATGAACAGCCACGAGGGAAGAGTGCCTCCCTCTAACTCTGCAGGCGACTCGCGTCTCCTGAGAGTGAAGCGACAACCCGGTGCGGCCTTTCTGCCTCGACCCAGCCCGCCGATTGGTCGAGACATGGAGGAACTTTCGCCAATCCCGTTGAGCTTTCCAAAGGTGTCCCACCCCACCCTCCAAGATAAGAGAGGTCTAATCCAATAGACAACGATGTTACGGTCTCCAGGATACGAGCGTCAGTTGTCAGGGTCTCACTCATTAGTGCCTTTGTGAAA